TAGTCGTAGTAGTAGTAGTCGTCGTCGAAGTAGTAGTAGTAGTAGTAGTAGTAGTAGTAAGTAGTACTAGTAGTACTAGTAGTAGTAGTAGTAGTAGTAGCAGTAGTAGCAGTAGTAGTAGTAGTAGTAGTAGTAGTAGTAGTAGTCGTAGTAGTAGTCGTAGTAGTCGTAGTCGTATGATTATTATTATTAATATAATTTAAATATTTATATAATATTAATTATTATTAATAGTATTAGTAGTAGTAGTAGTCGTCGTAGTAGTAGTAGTAGTAGTAGTAGTAGTAGTAGTCGTAGTAGTAGTAGTAGTAGTAGTAGTCGTAGTAGTAGTAGTAGTAGTAGTAGTTGTAGTAGTAAGAGTAGTAGTAGTAGTAATAGTAGTAGTAGTAGTAGTAGTAGTAGTAGTAGTAGTAGTAGTAGTAGTAGTAGTAGTAGTAATAGTAGTAGTAGCACTGGTAGTAGTTGTAGCAGTTGATAAAAATAGTAATAAAAAGGACGAGTAGAGGTTGACAGTGACACCCACCGACAACTACAGATGTCGGTCTGTCCTTGACACCCTTGACGAGTAAAAAGGTAGGCAGTTGTCAGAACCATATACAGTTGTCAGTGGCCTTCAATTGAGCTCCCCATGGGGCCACGAAGCGCTGTGCCGGGTGGGGCAGACGCACGTGGACACCGCCACTGGGGCCTTTAGGTGTTGCTCCCCATGGGGCCACAAAGCGCTGTGCTGCGTGGGGGAGACGCATGTGGACATCACCACACGGGCATTCGGTGGAGCTCCCCATGGGGCCACGAAGTGCTGAGCTGGATGGGGGAGACGCACGTGGACACCGCCACTGGGGCCTTCGGTGGAGCTCCCTACGGGGCTGTGCTGCATGGGGGAGACGCATGTGGACACCGCCATCTGGGCCTTAATTAGGTGGAGCTCCCCGGGCCACGAAGCGCTGTGCTGGGTGGGAGAAACGCATGTGGACACCGCCACTGGGTCCTTAGGTGAAGCTCCCCATGGGGCCACAAAGTGCTGGGCTGCGTGGGGGAGACGCATGCGGGCAATCCTACTGGGGCCGTGGGTGGAGCTCCTCATGGGGCCACGAAGCGCTGTGCTGTGTGGGGGAGACGCATGTGAACACCGCCACTGTGGCCATCGGTGGAGCTCCCCATGGGGCCACGAAGCGCTGTGCTGGGTGGGGGAGACGCACGTGAACACCGCCACTCGGGCCTTCAGTGGAGCTCCCCATGGGGCCACAAAACACTGTGCTGTGTGGGGGGGACGCATGTGGACACCGCAACTGGGGCCTTCAGTGGAGCTCCCCATGGGGCCACAAAACACTGTGCTGTGGGGGAGACGTATGTGGACACCGCAATTGGGGTCTTCAGTGAAGCTCCCCATAGGGAAACGCTGTGCTGCGTGGGGGAGACGCATGTTGACACCGCCACTGTGGCCATCGGTGGAGCTCCCCATGGGGCCACGAAACGCTGTGCTGGGTTGGGGGAGACGCATGTGGACACCGCCACTGGGGCCATCGGTGGAGTGGAGCTCCCGTATGGGGCCACGAAACGCTGTGCTGTGTGGGGGAGACGCATGTGAACACCGCCACTGGGGCCTTTAGGTGTTGCTCCCCATGGGGCCACGAAGCGCTGTGCTGCGTGGGGGAGACGCATGTTGACACCGCCACTGTGGCCATCGGTGGAGCTCCCCATGGGGCCACGAAGCGCTGCGCTGCGTGGGGGAGACGCATGTGGACACCGCCACTGGGGTCTTCGGTGTTGCTCCCCATGGGGCCACGAAGCGCTGTGTTGGGTAGGGAGACGACGACGAAGACATGCGCAGGGCAGAGGCAGGGATGGGAGGAGGGAGGAGGGGGAGGAGGAAGGAAGGAAGGAAGGAAGAAAGGAAGGAATAAACGCGGGGACCGTCTCTAAAGAGGACCCAACACCACAGGATCGTTGGTAAAACGATAATCAAAAATGCACGGGGAGCAGTCGACCCTTGAACCGTTTCCGTCCGAGCCTATACCTCAACAGGCCCCCCACATAGTCCTGGGCAGTCTCAACAGCCCGGCGCCGCCTCCAGCGTCGCCCTTGGGGCGGTACGCGCCCGAGGGTTGGGGTGCTGAAGCCGCCCCGGGATACTCGGGGGGCCCGTTGAGGCCAGCCGGGACTCACGGGGGCTGTCTGCGCAGCCCGAGGTCTCAACACCCCAGCTGACACCGAGGCCAGACACGAGGGCAGGCGCGAAGGAGCAGGGGAGGGGAATGGGGGAGGGGAGAGGAGCAGGTGGAAGGAAAGCATGCATTTGGGAGTGGCAGGAGGAGAAGGGAAGGTTGGATTGGCTGGGGCGACGCGAGGGCCTCCTCGATAGTACTACTTTACCGGCGCCGCGCCTGTGGCGGACAAGACACACACGGGGAGCCCTCCTTCCTGGGGGCGCTCGCAGATGTGCGAAATGCGCAGAATCTGCCACTGCGCATCGCGCCCACCATCGGTGTTCATCGTATTC